TAAATGGGAGAGGAAAATACCTCTCCAAAAGACACTTAATAAGAGAACATTGAATTAGCTAGCGTTCAGACTTTTCAAGTTCCATTTGGCAATATTTAATCATGATAACTTCCTTATGCCAAGAGTGAGTTAAAATAAAAGCAAAAATTATGATTTCTTAATTTGCCAATCACCATGTTCTTAGCTCGGAAACCAGGACCAGAGGTATTTGCATGCAGTTTCTCTGTGTTTAGCTTTTACTCTGGTTGTCGGTAACTTCAGAAGTCTGTACATTTGTGCTCTGTCACCTTTGGTCTGCTGTGTGCACACACAGCGGTTACAGAGTTGGTGTCCCCCTCCCTTACAGAGTGAATAAGGCAATGCTTTTATCATCAAGGGAACCGAATGTGTGAAAGAAACTCTGGAGCTAGGGAGGTAGTTGTTTCCTTTGTAAAGCGATGAGAGTGTGGTCTTGTATTCCCAACTCTGGGGAGATAGGCACAGGACATCCCTGAGGCTTGCTGGCTATCTGGCTGTGGGGGTTTGGATGAGAAGGTCCCACAGTCGTGGGCATTTGAATACTTGGTCTCAGCTGATGGAATAGTTTTGGATAGGTGTAGGAGGTTAGGAGGTGTGGCCTTGCTGGAAGTGTGCTGCTAGGGACAGGCTTTGAGGCTCCAAAAGCTGTGAACTATTCCCTGTTTCTCTGTACTCTCTGTTTCCCGCTGGAGATGTGAGCTCTCAGCAGCTCCAGTCACCAGGCCTGCCTGCTGCCAGTCACGGCAAAGGACTCTCTTCCCTCTGGAAATGGAAGCACCTATAAACCCTTCCTTCTATAAGTTCATGGTCTTTTGGTCGCAACTATGGGAAAGTGACTAATACACCAGCCTGTCTGATTGGTGAGCCCAGGTACCAGCGAGAGTTCTCAGAGAACGAGGTGCACACTCCAGTTTCTGCACTCAAGTGCATGTGATTCCACACACTAGGGCACAGATGTGAACACACTCACAGATGCATTTTATTTCATTGAAGACTAAGCAGTAGGACCAAAATATGACCTCATACACACACTTTTCTCAATCATTTTTAAGTTTTTCTGAGTAATTTAAAACAAAATTAAATGAAAGTTTTTCAGACTGAATAGATTTTACTCTTTTTATTTTGCTTATAGACCTCACATTTTCTGTTCTGCCTTATGACCATCACTGAAGTTGTGATGTTCACTCGATCATAAGCCAAGAGTTTTTTAATTTGGTGCCTCTGGTTCTCATCTGTTTAGCTAACATAGTAAAAAAAATTATACATAATTCAGATGCTTGGTTTGATAACTGGATGACCCAAATAGCATGAGGTCAAAGACTGGCTGATGCCATGAAGGCGCCAGCCGTGATCTGTAACGCAGTGTATGTCCCACAGCAGGAACAGTGTGATGTCTAGTTCTTTCTCAGGGTATTTTATCCACAACAATACTAACCAGCCATAAAGATGTATGAGGCACTGTTAATATCAGCTGCTCTGTCAGTGGACCGTGGAGAATTACACTGTGTGAAAGAAGTGGGACATGGGAAGTCGCATATAACATGGTTGTACTCAGGAGAAACATCCACACTTTATAACTGAGAGAAGAAAACATGCAAGTCTCCCCAGTCTGTTCTAGTAAGGTAAGAGAAGTGACCTGGAGAGTGGAAAACAAAGGGAACCGTTTTTTAATTAATTAATTAATTAATTAAATAGCCTGAATGTGCCTCTGTGAGCAGAAAGAAACTGGTTTGGGGAGTCCCGGGCAGCATGGGGAAAGCTACTGGGATCAGCTGGTGACTCATTAATTACATTTCTTTCTCTGTCTGTAAAATTAATATATAAGAACACAATACGTTGTAGTGAGTGCATAAAGAAAATCAGCTTCCAAAAATCTTTTTTTCCTCCTCCTCTTTATCTGTCTTCTCATCCCCTCCCACATGGCAGCCTGCTTTTGGTGGGAACCCTTTTGTTCCTACTGCATTGCCTCACCCAGTCCTAGTGTGAGGGGTTTTCCTCTGTCTTAATGTACCTTGTGCTGGGTTCACTTGATGTCTCTGGGAGATCTGCTCTTTTCTGGGGAAGGATGGGGTGGTTCATGGGGGATGGTGGGGAAAACTACGAGGAGTGGAGGGAGGGGAAGCTGTGGTTGGGATATATTGTATAAGAGAAAAATAAAAATTAAAAAAAATAATCGGCCAGGAATGAACATGAATGAGCAAGTATCTCTCAGTATTAAGACGCAGAGTGCTTTAGATTAGAAGTCCTAGAGTGGTATAGCTGGGGCTTGAGGAACCTCTGCACCAATTTCTGTATTAGCTCTAATGGCTGTAAAGTTTGCACTCCCACCACGTGAATAAGTGTTTCACTTTCCCCGCATCCTCACCAGCACGTGCTGTCATTTGTTTTAGGAATAGGATCTCAAGGCCAACGTTGGTTATAGAGTGAGCGCCCCACCAGCCTGAGCTACAGTGAGACCCTGTCTCAGAATTAATTAAATGGGCTCAACATAGCTCTGTGTACCAGGAAACTAAGTCTTATTCTAATTTTTAAAAATTTCGTGGGCGGGGCTGGAGAGATGGCTCAGTGGTTAAGAGCATTGCCTGCTCTTCCAAAGGTCCTGAGTTCAATTCCCGGCAACCACATGGTGGCTCACAACCATCTGTAATGAGGTCTGGTGCCCTCTTCTGGCCTGCAGACATACATACAGACAGAATATTGTATGCATAATAAATAAATAAAATATTAAAAAAAAAATTTCGTGGGCATTCACAATTTATATTTTGAAAGCTCACACTCAGCAACTGAAGTCAAATTCTATGAGTTTTATCAACTTTAGGTTCGGATATGCTGTATAGCCATAAAAGTGAATATTTAGATTTTCAACTGTTTTAATTTTCTAAAATACCATCACATATATATTGACTCGTTTTTGCATATTTTTTGTTACTGGAAATGACATTTGTTATTTATTTAGACAATCTTGATCTGCGCCACAGGCTAGCTAGAACTTTTAGTCCTTCTTCCTCAACCTCTCAAATGCTAGGCTACAAGTGTGCACCATACTTGGATGGAAAGTAAAGGGGTGTGTGTGTGTGTGTGTGTGTGTGTATGAGAGAGAGAGAGAGAGAGAGAGAGAGAGAGAGAGAGAGAGAGAGAGAGAGAGAGAGAGAGAGAGTGTGTGTGTGTGTGATGTGTTCAAGGGAAGGCCTGAGGTTGGTGTTGGGTGTCTTCCCCTACTTCTCTGTACCTTATTCACTGAGGCAGGGTTTCTCACTTGTACCCAAAGCTGATGTATATGGTTAGTGTAGGTAGCCAGCTTGTCCTGAAGAATCCCGTTTTCCTACCTTCTAAGTGCTGGAATTGCAGGTGGGCTGCTATGCCCATTCAACATATATGTGGGCTCTGGGAATCTAAATCCAGGCTTTAAACTGCTTACTGAACAATCTCCCCAGCCCTGGAACTTACATTTCTGAGAATACAACATTCTCAGCGAGTTTCTCTGACTAGTTCTACCCAGTAGGTATATAATTTTTTGGAGTCTTAGCTGTTTAGCATAGGGCATAGTTGTACATCTGTATAAAAGTGTAACAATTAGGGCATGGTATGAAGTTAAATGCATGAAATTATTTTTATTTTATCCTCTTTCCTTAATTTTTTAATTAGGAAGTTAGTGTGTTGAATGTGTGTATATGACTATGCTAAAAGAAATGGTGTATTAAGTGTCATATCATCAGGTGATTGAGCATCACATGTAAATAAATATTTGGCCCTAGTCCATTGCTTTTTTAGTAGAAAACTAAAAATCTTTCATTGAGGAGCTTCTTAGCAGTCGCTCCTTTGGGAGGTGTTTCCGGTGTTTACCCTTTGTTTCAAGTCACCAGTGTAGCTCCTGAACTATTGAAGTGGGGTTAGAGAGGGAGCTCTAGGGTAAAATACTCTTAGATTCAGGAAATTTATTGTAGAATATAAAACATTTCACTAATAACATCGATTGCATGTTAGAATGATAATAGTTTAGACATTTGGTTAAATAAAAGCACAATAAAACTTTGTATTTCTTGCCTTATTTTACTCTTAAGGTGGCTTCCATATGTTGCCATCATGGTTGTGTACTATGGACAGCACTGTTCTATAGTCTTTTTATAGGACGTGGTCAGGCTTTTAAAAGCCACACATCCCTTTGCATTCCCGTGTTCCAAGGTTGGGAAGTCTCCGAAAGCGGTTTGCGTGTTTCAGCAGCTGAAAGGCGTTTGTGTAAGCTCACAAGTGTGTTTCCCCAGTGCTTCAAAACTGAAATGGGATGGTGTAAGCTAGAAGAAAGAAGGTCAGGAAAAATAGAGCACAAATCAAGAGTGAAAATATGATAGAAAATGCTGCAGGACCTTAGCACTGGTATTCAGTAATTGTGTATGCTAACCTAGAATTACACTAGTGTTCTAGCCACTTTTCTTTGACAACAGACTTTGAAAAACACTCATAGGAGGATATGTGTATTGCTTTCCAAGTGTAGTAACGAACACGGTCACCAGTTACTACTACTTAGGAGGCTGTGGACATGGCTCAGTGATAGAACTCCTGTCTCCTGTGTGTAAGGCCCCGGGTTCTCTTCCTTAGAAACCCTGTCCTGTCAGAAGAAGATTATTTTATTCCTGCTTTTTAAAAAAATCTTTAACAATTTCAAAGTGAAAGAGGAGATTGAGTTTTCTCGCCATCTGCGGACACTCAGAAGTTCTTTAAGCTCCCATCTTAGCCCAGTGAGGGTACTCTTTGTTTGCCTCCTAGAAAGTGATCGTCTGTGCCCCATCCCACCCCCATGTTCATGTTTATTTGTTTTGTTTTCCTTCTGTCTGATTTTCAACAAGACATTTAATCACCCTGCTTAGGTTTATTTTCAGATTATTAAATAAGGGATAACTAACAGTATTATGTTTTGTATTTGAAATTGTAAGGTCCATTTCCTTTATTTTATTTTATTTTTAATTTAATTCTTTGTTTTACAGATGAGGGCAGAAGTGCAGTTGACCAAGCAGGTGGTGCACAGATTGTAATTGACCATTTAAGGTCCCTGTGCAGTATAACAGATCCCGCCAATGAGAAGCTCTTGACTGTCTTTTGTGGCATGCTGATGAACTATAGCAATGAGAATGGTAAACAACACTGAACACTTGCTTTATCTGTGGGGGAAGTTCAAAGATTTTTTTTCTTGACTAATATACAACAGATATTTGAAAACTGAACAGATTTCGTAAGTGATGCATAAAATTAAGAATTAACTTTACAGCGTTTGAAAATTACAAAATGACCTGAGGTACATACAGAATGGAACTTTGAAGGTTTGCTCATGTTAATACTTAAACCTAAAAATCAAATGGCCAGTATAGTTTAAAATTTCTTGCTCTGAACAGTTTAAAATGAAGTTGTGTTAAAGTAGGCTCACACTCATTACTTTAAGTACCAGGAGTAGTCTTCAACAAACATTGTTTTTAGATGGAAATCAATTCATTCTAGTTAGACCTTGGAGTACCGCTTATTGTACCCGTGGTCACATAGATGGTGAAGACAGTGGCATCACAAAAGACTCATGCTGCATCTCTCTGGCTTGGGCAAAACCACACGTCAAGTTCTGCTAGATCCTCCTAAATCCGTATCACGCCCACAGTTAAAAACCTTAAATCAACGATTTTACGTCAAAAACCACCTGTCGGATAGTGTTTGAGTCTAATATTCCTCTGGTGATGTAGTATACAAAGACTACCTGTATTATACTATTTGGGTCTATAGTTTCTTTGCTTGGATGCTTTAATGTGACCTAAAATTTTCATTAGTAAAATCAGTAGTTGGAGGTTCTGTCCAGAGGCAATCTGGTGTAAAGGGAATATAATTCCTTGGGTATATTATTGAAGGGTTAATAACTGCATTTAAGAATAAAATGTAGGAGCCGGGCGGTGGTGGCGCACGCCTTTAATCCCAGCACTGGGGAGGCAGAGGCAGGCGGATCTCTGCGAGTTTGAGGCCAGCCTGGTCTACAAAAGCTAGTTCCAGGACAGGCACCAAAAACTACAGAGAAATCCTGTCTCGAAAAAAAAAAAAAAAAAAAAAAAGTAAAATGTAGGAGGAACCTCCCCCGGAGGAGGCGTGAACCAGCACAGGTAGAGATGGAACAACCTCTAAGGGAACAGGCCTGAGCCAGTGACATATGTGGGACTGGACTCGAGCCACTAATGTCCACCAGACTAGGCCCAAGCTAGAAACCTCCATCAGAGCAGGCCTGAGCCAGCAACCTCTGCAAGAACAGACCTGAGCCAGCAACCTCTGCAAGAACAGACCTGAGCCAGCTATCTCCATGGGAGCAGGCCCAAGCAAGTGACCTCCATGGGAGCAGGCCTGACCGACCTCCAGGATTGCAGAACAATCTCCAGGACTAACGAGTGACCTCTGGCTTGACTGGAGCCATGGCCCCAACTCCATTACAAGAAACAACCATCTGAGCCTTGGATCCACCAGTTCTAAGAGTGGAAGAGTGATCACTACATCAATCAGAGGAAAAGATGAGTAAACACTGGAAGAACACACTCAACGCCACGATGAGCAACTTGACACCAACAAAAACTAGTGGCTCTAAAATAACAAGGCTTGAACACCCCAATAGAGATGAAGCAGAAGAAAATGACCTAAAATATAGCTTTAGGAGAATGTTTGAGGCCCTTAAAGAAGGGAAGAATGAAAAATTCTCTCAAAGAAACAAAAAGCTAGAAGAAATCAACAAGTCCCTTAAAAAGAAACCAAGAAAAAGCAATCAAACAGGTGAAAGAAATGATTAAAGCCTTGAAAACTGAAACAGAGCCAATAAAACAAACACAATCCAGGGACTTCCAGAAACAGAAAATATGGGAAAACAATCAGGAACCACAAGTGCAAGCATAAACAGCAGAATACAAGAGATGGAAGAGTCCCAAGGCTAAAGGTACAATAGAGGAAATAGACTCATCAGTCAAAAGAAAACATTAAATTTAACAAAAGCTTAACACAAAATATCCAGGAAATAAAGGACACCGTGAAAAAGACCAAACCTAAGAATAATAGGGATAGAATAAGGATAAGAAGTTCAACTCAAAGCACAGAAAATATATTCAACAAAGTTATAGAAGAAAACTTTCCCAACCTAAAGAAAGATATCCCTATGAAGATACAAGAAGCTTACAGAACACAAAATAGACCGGACCAAAAAAAAATCCCTCACTGCATAATAATCTAAACACTAAACATACAGAATAAAGAAAGATTATTCAGAGATTCAAAGGAAAAAGGCCAAGTAACATAGATAAAGGTACACCTATCAGAATTATACCTGACTTGACTTCTCAGTGGAAACAATGAAAGCCAGAGGGTCCTGGTCAAGCATGTGCCAGATGCCAATCTAGACTACTATACCCAGAAAAATTTCCAGTCACCATAGACAGACAAAACAAGATATTCCATGACAACCAGATTTAACCAATGCCTAGCCACAAACCCAGCCCTATAACAAAATGCTAGAAGCAAAACTCCAACCCAAGGAAGTTAGCTACATCTACAAAAACAGACAATAGATGATCTCACAACAGCAAATCACAAATAAGGGAAAGACACTGACAATAACATCACCAACAATAAAAATTACAGTAACAGGAACAAGCAATAACTGGTCATTAATATCCCTTAATATAAATAGATTCAACTCACATATAAAAAGACACAGGCTAACAGATTGGATATGAAAACAGAATCCATCCTTCTGTTGATTTCAAGAAACACACCTCAGCCTCAAAGACAGGCATCACCTCAGAGTAAAGGGTTGAGAAAAAATTTTCCAATCAAACGGACCTAGGAAACAAACTGGTGTAGCTGTTCTAATATCTAACAAAATAGACTTCAAATTAAAATCAATCAAAAGACACATCTCTGATGGAAACTGAGATAGGAACTCAAGCAGGGACCATGGAGGAATGCTGCTTAATGGCTTGCTCGGCTTACTATTTCATAAAACCCAGGCCATCTGCTTAGGGATGGCATTAACCACAGTGGACTGGGCCCTACTCCATCAAGCAATCATTAATCATAGAAATATTGCCAGCAAATCTGGTGCATTTTCTCAGTGGAGTTCCCTCTTCTAAAGACTCTACCTTCAGGCAACTTGACCAAACCTAGCAAGCACACACTAAGAGTATTGCTTAGCTCACTACTCTACACATCCCTAAGTGATGAATCTGGTCAGAGCTAACTCTCTACACCCCTTCCAAACCCACAGTTTCTTTTTATCATGAAGTTCATTTCCGTAGTGAGTCTAATCAGTAGCTTAGATTAGCTTTTCAATAAGTTGGATTAGCTTCTCTTTCTTCACCATTAAAATAGAGATAAAAATAAATAAGGAATAGTACTGACTAAAACACATTCTGTCCCATGCTGTGTTTATCCCTGTATTTTGGTGCTCTTTGAAAACCCAGGAATCGTTTCTAAATGCTAGATATTTAGAAAAGTTCTTCCATGTGAGGCATTACTTCCAAAGTTGAATTAACTGGCATTTCTATATATTTTCTACACACTAGATTATATATACATCATATATATATACATATATATACACACATACACACGTAGGACAAAAAAAACTCAATGTAAGATTGGATCTTCCCGTGTACCACATTAAGTGTAGTCTCTAAATTTTCCCTATGTTAATAAAGAAACGGATCATATACTTTTAAGTTTATGTCTTTTAAATCTCAAATTGTCAAGTTGAAATGTTCTAGTGTGTTAGGGAATGTTCTAGTGTGTGAAGGTGCCTTAGGGATCTCTATTCTCTTTGCTTTGCTGACTGTTTTTCTTTATTACCTACTTTCTGTTTGTGTCATTAAAAAAAAATTGTTTCCTTACTGTGCAACAGAGCTTTTGAATCCCTATTCTGGATCAGGTGGAATTGATGAGGTTCTATCTACTACCTATTAAAAACAAGTGTTGTGTTCTTAATCCCATGTGGCCAAGCTTTGGCATAAATACTCAACTTTATCCACATGTAAAAGTTTTAAAATTTATCATAGTAAAACAAAATGATTGGGTGCTTTTACTTTGTGTTTTTAATTCATATTTAAAGTTTGCATTTTATTACAGGACTAATACTTTGTTGGCCTTGTTGGAGTCTAGGCTGCTCTTGTAGTTATGACTGGACATTTAGCATTGTAATGCTACGCACACACACACATACTGTTAGCTGAGGTCAGTGAAGCAGCAAAGGCTGTGTGGATTTGTATTCTCTAGTCTGGGTTTGTTTTTTTTTTTCCCCTGTATTTGCCTAAAGTTTGAATTTAAGACAGTCAAGGCCATTGGATGTTATTTTTAAGATTTTCATCATTATGAAACTTTTAAGTGGCGTGGTTGGTTTTCTGATTTTTTTTCCCCCTCATCTTCACAAAACCTAAGAATTCCAAAGTTAGACTTTTAATTAGAAGACTGGTTGCATGAATGTGATTATGTAACTAAAAATGGAAACACAAACAAAAATAGCAGACCACCTACACGACTTCCCCTTTCTCTGCCCCGCCATCTCCAGTGGGCCACCCAGATCTTCCTCTCTAAGCTCCCTTTACCCCACTCATTGCTTTGTCTTGGTCCCCAACTCCCTACAGGCCAATCTGGTCACAAAAGCACAAGGCTAACTGCAGGTCTTCACCTCTCCTTCCATTTCTCCAAGTCCAGTCACCCATTCTCATCTCTAGTTCTGTAGCAGATGTTATGGCCTGACCTCCCTTTACTCTTTGCCTCATTCCTAGGGAACTAAGCAGATTCTGGTGGTATATCTGCTTTCTTCTTCCTCTGGACCGCTGGAGCCCGATCCTCTAGCCCATCCCCATTCCTAAGTGTCACCACCCAATAGCTAGAAACACATTTTACCAGGAGTCCAAAAGAATTCTCTGCCAAGCACCTAGGCGGCACCAGAAAGCAAGGAACAAAGCACATCCCCAACAAAGAGAAGACCAGAAGTCAGCACCTAGAATCACAGTGTTCCCAAACGCACATGCTTAGATGCCAGCGTAAAACATGATCAGCCAGTTACAGCCAGGACAATCCCAGCAACCCTACCACAGCAGGCCCTGAGTATTACAATGTAGTTGAA